CATGGCTCATTTGCATAAGTGGAATATATGTGTTCTCTCTGTGACAGAGGGATGTTCTGCTGATGGTGAGTCTGTTCTGTGTTTCTGTCGTGTTGGAGATGTTCATGTTAAACTTTTCAGAGATTATATGTCTGCATGTCGTACACACAGACACATGTTTATATGAATGGACATATATTCTAGTCTCTTAGCATTTTGTCCGTGAATTACTTTGCAATGCACAGACCTACATCAGAGTATCAGTGTTTTCAGGCGTCCACACGGTGCCAGATCAGATCTGTACTCAGATGAATTCGTGGAGCTGGAGGCACCAGATCGTTCCGTCTCTGGAGCCGTTTTCCATCGGATTAATGTGAACGAACACTGCACCCACAACGGAAACAACTCGAATATGTACTAGTGTGGATGGAGATTTAGAGGGTGACCGTATTTATAGTTATTTATAGTTACTTGTAATTGTGTGCTTTCAGTTGTGTTAATCTTGTTTCTCTTTCACTTCTCTATTCACTCTATTTGGACGCCTTTGCATTTGAGTTTAGACACCCTCGACGCGCCGTGGACGAATGGGAGAAAAACACTTGATGCGCATCCATTGTCCTGGAAACAAGTGCCCGGTCCTGGTCTTTTTCTTACACGATGGCAGACCAGACTGAGAGAGTCTGGGACACTGTCCTGAGGAAGTCGAACTGCAGATGGCGCTGTCGTCCTGCCTCCACGGGTAGAAAGACAGAGTCAAAACCTGTTCAAATCAGCTGAGCAACACGTCACAGAAATATGACGAGACTCTGAGTAAGAGCGCAGGGAGCAGAACAAACTGTCAGGTATGAAAACAAACTCTTAGTCTGAAAAAAGACCCTAATAACATCAATTAATGGAAGACCAAATGGACCTTATTGGAAAGTTTTAAGTCAGATCTGTGGAAAAGCGAGAGAGCTCACAGCAAGAAAAATATTTAAGAATATTTTTAACTACAAAAATATTTTCATATTTCCACAGAGACAAATACTAGTAGGTGATGGGCCCCCATTAGAAAAGTTACATAGTGCATCTTTAAGTGTACCTTCTTTGACATCCAAATAAGTTGATTCTTCGATAACGAGCCCTGAAGACGAAACAAAGCCACAGAAATACAGCCCAGTGTCTGAAGAGTTCACTGGGTTAATCTTGAGGAAGACGTGAGACGAGTTGGAAGTCGCTGTAAATTTTTTGTCTGGAGATGAAACAACGTCAGAAGATCTGGTTATGGATGAAAACCTTCTGAGTGTGGATCTCCTCAAAGCTCGATACCAGATGATTGTAGCAGGATTACTACTGTAGTTTGAGCAGAACAGAGTGACACTTTGCCCAGACTGAACTTCAACTGACCACCTTTTCGAGCCCAAGACACACGATAAACCTGCAGCAATACAAGCACTGAAAAGTATTTTATCGTTTCCACGGAGGTGAAAATGTGATAAAACATCGACTTACTGATACTGAAGAGAAGAACTGTTGAAGAGAAGCTCGTCATTCTGAATCTGCAAAGACAAACGCAGCACCGGACGGACTGGAAGTTTCTGAAGCACCTTCCTGTTGTCTGTCTTAATTTAACACACACAGTCACACATCTGTCACTTGGTAATAAACATACAGAAGTTGAGCTATAACGGAAGTGCAAAGACGCGCGATGTTCAGAGAGAGACCAAATAGGGAAATTATTCATATATTTTCAGAAGGAACTTGGAGCTCAACATGTTTTGTTCTGAGAAGATCAGATACTAAAACACTGAAGCTTAAATCTAAGTATCATTGTGTTTTTTTAAGGTTCACTTTACTTCCAAACACTTTCTGCAGTCATCAGTTTTAACACAAGCTGTGGTGGAAGATAATCAAGTACAAAAGTAAAAATACAATGTTGAAGAACAATTTTTAGTCATAATTTACTTTCACTTCACTACATTTGAGAGCATGTGTCTGTACTTTCTACTCCTCTACATTTTAGATGTTGACTGAAAAGTAAAAAGTACTTTTCCTTATGGTTTGAGACCTGCTGAAAAAGCAGAGACTTATTTTTTAGCACTTTTAATTTGAGTTAACGTCCCAACATTGAGCAAACCAAGTTTACAATGTGCAATGGCAATGTGCAATATACTATTTATTAATTAAGTACTTTAATACTTCACTTACAGGCAATTTGCAATATACTAAAGAATTTTACCTTTGAGGGCACATGCAATACATTGTAGAAAAGCACTTTATAAGTCGGGTTATTTAGCAATCTCACCTTGCACTTTTTCTTTTCTTTTTTTAGGGTTGTGCAAAATACTGTAATAATTTTAGCAATGGGCTATGTGCAATACTTATACACTGGCACCTTAACCAAACAGGGCAGGGTGCAATTTTGATCAAATCATCTAACATCCTTTAATTGACTTGTGTTTGTGATCTTGTGACTGACCAGCTCTTTATGTCTGTCTATTTGTATTATTAAGCCAAAGATGTTCATTTTGTCTTCTTATATACTTTAACTTCTTGGGTTCCATGCCCACAGGAAGTAACAACAGCTGATATACGACACGTCACCACCAACACAGGTGACAGTTCTGAAGATGGTTTGCAGCGAGCAGCCGAAACATGTCAACAAGGTAAACACACTTTGCTGCATTGTCTTTAAAAAGAACCCAAGAAGTTATTTGTATTATTGTATTGTGTGTCTGGGTGCATTGTTTTTACTCTGTGTATTTGTTTTATGATTACATCAACCTGTCGAGGGACAGCAGATGGAATTTACCCTTGGGCTACACTCTGATAACATATTTACATATCATGTATATGTTCATTAATGTGTTTTGTCCCTATTTCAATTTTTTTTTTTTTTTTTAAACACACAAAAACAGAAAACAGCGAGAAAAATTAACAAATCAATTGAATCTTTTAAAATCTGCTGAAGTCTTGATCAAAATCACTACATTTCATCCTTTAATTGTTTTACTCTTTAAGTAAATTTTTTTTAATGCATTTATTTTGGGCAAGTAAAGATTTATATTTATATACAATGGAACATATGACATAAGTGAAATCATAATAGAAATGAAAATAACAACAACTATTAATAACTATTATTATTACTATTGCCCAAAAAGGATGGGAAAAGAAAACTTATTTAATCCACCCTACTCTTCATAATCTAACACAATATCTATTTTGTGTTTTTCAGCATTTTGAATTAAACTATGAACTATTTACAAGTGCAGACAAAGAGTCACTGTTATAGTTTGGTAGTAGAACATAAGTGCAAAAACAATGGTAAAGTTAAGGAAACAACAAATACAAGTAATGCAATGGACAGCACATACCAGCAATGGTAAGAAATGTAATGTTTTAAAGATGTACTTATACTTACATGGGTTTTTCCATGCAGTACTTTTACTTGAGTAATCTTTTGCCGTGGCATCTGTACTTTTACTTAAGTAACAAAATTAAGTATTTCATCCACTACTGAGCAAAAGTAAGAGGACAGTTGTATTATTTTTTACCTGTGTGTCGACGTTTGGGTCTTGTCCTGGAGGTACATTAGTCTTCTGTGAGTTTTAATAGTTTTATGTTTTGTCAGTTTTTTCACACACCACGTCTCTTTCTGTGAGATCAGATTTAGATTTACAAAAGAGGAACAAGTTTTTCTCTTTCTTCTGTTTTCCAAGTTATTTTCTATATTGTCTGTATTACATCATTCTTTTTTATTTTTTGTGTGTTTATTATTCTTTATTATTATTCAAAACTTTCCTGAATTTACTTAATAATTTTACTTTACTAACTTAAAATAAGAGCGGCAAAAGAGAAATTCAATTTGTCAACTAGACAAATTTTTTTTTGGTTGGATAAGTTTCTCAGCTCATCCAAGTTTCTTCGGTTCTGGTCAGACTGTCTTGTACCTGCCTGAAGGGAGGAGCTAACTACTCTGAAACTACACTGAAACTAACACATCTACCTCACTCAGTGCATTTCAACAATAAAATGATAACTGTCATCCCTCATTATTATCTTATCCAAAGTTCTATTTTGACTGATTCTTGTGTGTTTGAGTGATCCTCTATTGTCCTGCATTTGAGACTTTGAGATTTGAGACTGAGAAAATTCCTGTTTTTACCTGCCCCTTATCCCCGCCCACTTATCTGTAAAGCAGAGTTATAGGGTAATAGGGTCTAAAATGTCACATAACCACCTTTAAAAAAAAAGAAGTGTGACCGTTCAGTTCTTGGTTTTGAACAGAAAGTCAATGTCCCGTTTCTATTAATTATCTGTTTATAGATAATTTTACAGTTCAAAGAACAAAACTGATGAGAAAAATGAGCCACTTCTGTTGAACTGATATTTTCATTATTATTTTCATGAAACGCGCAAACAAACCCAAATGTGCATGATCTTACACAGCTCTATTAGCTCATGTGATATGTACAAATGGAGCCAGTTCTTTCCCAAAATGACACAAAAACAAGAGCTTTTCTCTCACTTTGTGTGTCTCTCCACCAGAGGGCAGTGTGTGCTGAGTCCACAGTCAGAGGGTCTGTAGACTTGGTTGGGTCCATGGTCCACACTCTTAATGCAGTCTGCAGACTCACTCTGCTTTCACATTCTTAGTTCATCTGAAATTTAAAAAATAAAAGTCAGAATGAAACTAAGGAAATAAAGTCAGGGTTTAGACTCAAAAGTAAAATGTGTGTAAGCTCACTCTGTTCTGGAGCGTCTCGTTCCTGATCGTTGAACACAAAATGGAACACGTCTTTTTTGTTTCACGTGGAAGCTTTAGAGATTCCACCACAGAAACACAGACGACATGGACAACAGGCTAACCACTCTGCAGACTCACCTTGTGTTTCTTCTCTGAGATCAGTAACACGCCTGAGTCATCACCACGGCGACAAGGATCAACAGAGCCACGCAGACGCCGGACCTGACAAGAGTTTTTATACGGTATTATGAGTGTGAGTGCAGTTTTTAAACATGTACAGATCTACACAAACCTGAGGGGAGGAGCTCGGGTTGAGCCACAGTGGAGGTGACAGGTTCTACTGACGCTACAGAAACATAATTCCATTAATTTCATTTGTTTTTTACTCTGAGCAGTGTGACTGGCCTGTCCGTGTGGAGGTTCAGTGTGAATATGGACTTTTGTTTTGTACTAATTGTGTATTTTGGTTTGTAAACCAAAAATATTTTTCAAAGATCTTTTTTTCGTGAAGGGTTTTCTTTAAAATTACATATTTACACCGTAAGTTACCAAAAATGATTAGATGCCAGTTTTTGTCACATACAGCCTACCCAGTAATTTCATAATAACAAATACTTTTATACTTTCTAGACAATCCGTGTGTCATTCGTTCATTGGTTTTTCAAAATAAAACCAAAATAAAATGATAAAACAACAATTTGCTTCATTATTTGTCTCCAAAACCAAAATGAAAAAACAGATGATTAATTTTTCAGTTTTTGATGTTTAAATGAATCATGCAAAAGTAACGGATAACGAACTGAAACAGGACTAAACTGGTCTCAGTCCTGGTCTCAGTTCTGGTCCGGTCCTGGTTCAGTCCTGTTTTAGTCCTGGTTTTATCAGTTTTTTTCCATTATTCATTTAAACACAAAATCGAAAACTGAAAAAACAAATCTTTATCGTTTTTCATTTTGGTTTTGGAGACAAATAATGAAGAAAAATTGTTTTCTTATTTTTGGTTTTATTTTGAAAAACAAATGATCCACGGATTCTAGACAAACCTGAGGGGAGAGCTCGGGTGGAGTCAGTGTGGAGGCGACAGGTGTAACATGATGTTCTACTGAGAAGGTCACTGACGGTGTTGTAGAAACATGTGGCTCTGAGGACCGAGCAGCTGGAAAAATTTGCTTCATGTTAGGAAACTCAAAAAGGTTGAATGAGCAACAATAAAGGACGGAGGAAAGAGACGGATGATCCTCATGATGGTGATATTTACCTCAATCTGAAATTCTACTGAGTCCACAAACACTGATCTGAACCACAATCTGTGTGAGTCTGAACCAAAATGTTTTCTATTTTCTCTGTCATTTTTACAGAAGAACTGATACGTTCCAGATGCGTAAAACAAAAACTTATCCTCACCAGACTCATTAAATAAACAAGTCAGGACTCACATCACTTCCACTGAGGTGTTTGGAGTTAGAAACTGTTTTCAGTATTTAAAAAGATTCACTCGTCTCAGTGTGACAACAGAGAGTGAGTCTTTGTGACTTCTGCTGGTAACGTGCTACATCTGAGACCAGTGAGTTATTTGTTTTTTGAGCTCTAAAACATGAATGGTTAATGTGCCCAAAGGTTTTTCTAAAATAAAACTTGAATAATACATAAAACACAAAGACAGAAGAGCAGCAGAAACAGACGGAATGATAATAATGATGGTGATTACCTCTGGAGACTTCAAGATGAAATTTTATTTATTTCAACATGCAGGACATAAGGATTTGAATGTTGCTCAAACTCAATGCTGTATCTCCCATTCTGCTCTCTGGTGACAAAAGTCTGAACCAAAATGTTTTCTCTTTTGTCACAGTCATTTTTACAGAAGAACATTTGTCTTGCATATGTACCAAGCACCAACTTTTCCCTAAAGTCTTTTCCTTCCACTGTTGTGTAAACAAAAGTCTGTGCGTGGTGAGTCCTCTTCCACCACACAGCACTGTTCAACACAGGAGTCACAATTAAAAGAGCATTGTGTCATTTTTCCGGTAGAGTTCAGCATTTTCTCGTCTCCATGGAGAACTGTTTGTTTGCCTGAAATTATAATTATAATAGATTTGTGAAGGAAAGACCTCACTCACAATGTGGTCAAATGGTCAGACATGTTTCTTAGTGTTGATCACTTCAGTGTGCAGTTTGCATAATTGGTGCGCCTCAAGGCTCGATACTGGGCCCATTACTGTTTAGCTGTACGTTAACGACTCGCCTCAGATTTGTCCGTCTAATGTAGTTTGTCAGATGTACGCTGACGACGCAGTTTTGTATGTTCACTCTAAAAACAAACAAGCTGCACAGGGCGTGTCAGGTGCTGTGTCAGAGGCAGCAAACTGGTTACAACATTCACAATGACGTCTTAACATCAGAGGCTACGTTCAGACTGCAGGGCTTAACGCTCAATTCTGATTTTTTTGTGAAATCCGATGTTTTTGCGAGGTCGTTCACATTTCCAATTCTAATGTGGTCCTTCTGGTCCCGTCAGGTGAAGCTGAGGAGACAGCAGTTCCAGGTGCACGAGTCGTTTTGTGAACTGGAGCTGGAAAAAACAAATATTCTACCCATAGTAAATAGTAAAGCAGTAGTTATAATGTTTACGTTCTATTTTAAAGAGGTTTAAAGAGCTGGAAATGTTATTATTTTGCCTGGATTGTTCCACAGTTTTACTTTAAACGTCTGTCCATTTGTGTCTTGCTTTTATTCAGTTCCACGTGTTATTATCGCTCCTTGAATCTCACAGTCTCTTCGTAGATCTGACCTGGAGCCAGAGTCCTGCACCGGGTCGGGTAGTTGCTGAAACGGGCGGGTTTTAATGTTCCGGAATTTTACAGGTGGGTAGAGATCACACACGGGCGGGTCAGGTGAATCAAACAAACTGCGAACGGGAGAAAAATGCTTGACGTGGAAACAAGTGACGTTTCCCGGACTTTTACGGACTGTTTTTATTGCACAAACGCATCAGTGGACAAGATCGACTCAGCAGCTGCGCTTCTGGTTCTGTCCTGGTTTTATAGTGGTTTAGTCCTGGTTTAGGCCTAGTTCTGTCCTGGTGTAGTCCTGGCCATTGGCTCTGCAGTTTGAGGCGTGTATTTAATTTATAATCCGTTATTGACACGGCGTAGGTTCAGTCCTG